TATAAATTGAAATTATTTGGACTAGCCTCACGCCAGATAAACGAAGAATTCAAACTGCTCGTGGAGGAGTTTTGACGATGCGTAACATTACCAGCCGATCCTGGGAACTGTACACCGGTATTACACAGAAACGGTAAATGTGGATTGGAAGTTGAAAAATGTTTGCTGGTCTTCAGTTTGCCACCGCGAATGGGCAAACAAGGAGTCCATGGTTGCAGGGCTAAATTTTGGAATATATGATATTGTTGGATTCGTTGTAGGCATTGAACATAGTTTTGATTTTCAATATTTTTTATTTGTTTTGCAAATCATCACATATGATCACCACAGGAAGAGAAGAAGAAGAGATAAAGAGAGAAACAATGGTAGAAATAAAAAAAGATCATGATTTTGCGAGAAAAGAACGAAAACTAAACAATGAGAACATCAACAACAAAAAATCACACACACACACACTAAAAACGAGAAATTAACACACAAGAACAACAACAATGATATATGTATGTGAAAGGCTAATATTCGGGTGGTGATTGTGGGTGGTTGGCTGGCTGGCTGGGTGGGTGTTTGCTTTGCAAAACGAAAACGTAAACAAAAACGAAAATGATAAACGATAACAGCAATTGGCATTCAAACATTTGAGAGCATAAAAGAAAGAACATAAGGTAGATGGTATGAAAAGCAAAAGAAGATAAAAGGGATTTGTTGTATATGGAAGATCGTTCGTAAGCTTAAAGCTATGGCAGTGGCGTTGGGGTGGCCTAATAAACGATGTGAATTAAATATTGGCGGGGATTATAAGGAAAAATTCCTAGACTTTTAATATTAATTTAACAACTGATATTCTACTCCAGTCTTTTTAGGGCTGCAGCTTAATTAACCCTGAGGTTAAAAAATACAAGCCGGTTTGCCGACAATTAAAAGGTGATATGAAAAAACTGCAACCAATTTTAGACTGCTGTCACTTCTAAGCCACTCATCCGACAGCTGTTAAAATGTATCAAGTGACAGCTCATTATATTTTTTACAAGCGTACAAAAGCATTTTTTGTGAGAATTTTCCAGAAAAAAATTATTCGTGATGGAATTGAAGCGTGATAGTGTGATTTCTTTATATTTGGCTGGAAAACCACAAGTGGCTATCGTTAGAGCACTCCAGCATTCAAATCTGAATAAATCTTTTGCGTGTCGTACCAACGCTCGTTACCGTAACGGAAAAAATAGCAACATCAGCAGAAATGGTTCGAAAAGCAAAAAAAGCGACTTATCGAAACCCGCGTCGCATTGGCCGAAGAATGGCTCGTGAGCTGAAGATATCGCAATATTTCATTCGAAAAATATTGAAAAATAAGCTCGGGGTAAAGCCATTGAAATTCGAAAAAGTGCAAGAACTTACACCGCAACAGAAAGAAAATAAACTCAAAAGAGCTAAAGAGTTGCTTCGCGTGGACGAAAGTGAACTACCGAATTTGGTTTTCTCCGATGATCGTGTTTACTTGCAAAGAGGTCAGCTGAAAATGTGCACCTTCGGTTGGCCTCCAGAACTCAAGCGCCGCCCATGGTGATAGTGTAGGCCGCCATAACAGCCGATAGTCGCTCGTATTAATCGACCTTGGCATCAGAATAAATGCCGAATATTATCGCGAAAATATTCTGGAGGGTGTATAAATGCCTTGGGAATACAAAAATTTTGGCCGCAGACCTTGGACATTCCAACAGGACTCAACACGCGCCACCCAAGAATGGTTACAAAATGAGGTTGCTCGCTTCATTTCCAGCGCACAATGACCACCAAAATCTCCGGATATCAATCCGTTGGACTATTGTGTCTGGAGTATTATGGAAAGCAAGGTTGGCACTAAAAAATATCAAAGTGTCGATCACCTCAAGCAGGCGCTTCGCCGGGAATGGGCCTAAATACCGCAGATCAATATTCGGGCAGCGTGTGACGGTTTCATTGGCCGTTGGAAATTTTAAAATTTGATGCTATTTCCGACATTTTTTGCTTTTATTCAATAAAATTAAAAAAAAAATGTAAAAATTATGGCGTTTGACTTTGTTGCAATTTTTTTACCTCACCCTAAATATGAGGATATTAAGACACTCAGTTACACCTTCTATCAACTCCTAGCTTAAAAAAGATCAACAATTTAAAACCGCTGCAACATAGAATAGGGCGAGGTTTCTGAGAGGTAAGGAGACAATCTAAAAAATCTATTTTAAAATCTACGACATAGGACTGAGCTGCTTAGTCTAGAAAATTCAACTTAAATTTAAATATTTTGGGATGATGGACATTTATTTTATTTTAACAATTATTTTCTGAGGCTTTTAACTTTGAGCCAAACATAATCCAGAAAATTTAATTTAAAATTCCACGATTATAGATTTAAGCTAGCCTATATAATCCTTTCTTTAATCCTAATATAGGCCTTAACATTGTTCGGGTGCTCTGCTTAGCCTGGAGATTTAATTTGGAGATTTCTATAATAGACATTCAATTATTAAACAATTTAATCAAAATACAGACTATTACATGACTGAAATTAGATTTCACGACTTGAAAATTTTATTAATACAAAATTTTTGGTAAAGAAATTTAGTTAAAAATCCGCAATAATAAATAAAAAAATGTATTATTTAAACAAGGATTTTTAATATAAAGGCTCGAACATGGCTGAGAAAATTCAATTCACGATTATAGAGCCGAACATAGTCCTAAAAATTGAATTCCACGATTTTATATTTGAGCAGACCTTTATATTTCATTTCAAAAATTCAAAAACATTGTTTTGTGAATAGATTAGAAAACTCAAGTTAAGAGTCCAAGTTCAAAGGCCCTAACATAGCTAATAAAAATTTATTTCAAAAAATCATTAGAAATTTTATTTGAAAATGTTTTAATTAGCAGCTGTAGAATACCTTAGAATATTCAATTTTCAAGGACTGTTAAGCGGAGATTACAATAGAAAATCCATTTACAAAAAATTTAATATTATAGAGTTGTGCATAGAATGGAAATTATCAAATAAAATCCACGATTTTAGATCTGAATATAGACCAGAAATTTCATGTTAGAAATCCACAAGTATAGGCATGAGGGAAATTTAGAAAAAAAAAAACTATAAAATATGATTCTAAAAATGCTTTATAAGCAGCTCTAGTGTAGCTCTACTAAAATGACAACGATTTCCTTGAAGAGTAACAAATTAATTTTAAAAATGGATGGCTATTGGCCTTCAGCCTTTTGTCTAGAAAATTCAATTAAAATTCCACATAGGCCAGAAATTACATTTCAAAAATCCACATGAACTTAGTACAGAATATTCAAGCATTAACAAATCAAGGGAAATAGGAGCATACAAACTGATACCAATGTCTTATAGTTCTTTACGACTTAAGCTTACTCAAGAAAAACTTCAATTAGATCTCTCATCTACAGAGATTCGGCACTTCTATGGACAGAAGATTAAAGAATATTATCATTTCTGAGTTACATATGTATAAAAGAACCAACCACTTCTTGCTGTTATCATTGTAAAAACATTGTAAAAAACTAACACCGAAATGTGTGTGTGTTCGAATTGAAGCAAATAAGTCTAAAAAGTAACCAAATGAAATGATAATCAATGGGACCAAACCAAACAATTTGGGGTTAAACCGAAATAAAAAAATGGGCGTCAAACCAAAAACAAAACCTTAATTCAGCTAAAGTGATCCATTTTGGGATTGTTTTGGTAAAGGTGAGCTTATAAATAGCATTTTAAATAAATCTAGATGTACAGTTACAAAATCTTACACTCTAAGAAAATTAAAAAAAAAATACAAATAAATAAACCTAAACCTTAAAAATGTAGTTAGCGCGGATATACAATAGCTGGTGTTCCATTTTAATTAAAGGTGGAATTATAATAATATATGTGTTAAAATTATCGATGGATATGGTCTTATACGTATTGTTTTTAAATTTATTATTTAAATAAAACATATTATGAAACACAACCCAAAAACATAATTATAAATTAAACTTAACAAGTAAACCATTAACAAAATACAGTCAGTCCCATAAAATTGACAAACGATTTATTCGACTTATGCATATTTAAGAAGACATCTAGCAGAAATTTCACCTATAGAAATCTGGTACAAATACTTCTATTTACAGACGATTATTGAAGGAAATCCTCTCTTTATTAGAGGTCATATGTGTAAGGGGATGTCATCCATGCCCCGTCTGTACATAGAAGTACTTGTACCGGATTTCTTTAGATAAAGGATCCACTGTATGTTTTTTTCTCAATTTTAATAAGATATTTTAAAGTCCTTCCCTCTATAAACGAGTCCAATAGATATCGTCTGAGACTGACTATACGCAAATTAATACAAAAATATGAATACACATGTGTTTATTGGTGTCATGTGGGACTATGTCTTAAGTTATGCAGCAAATTATGAAGTGTTTATTTTTTTCAAGTGGATTCTGGAAAAAGCGATGTTTTTTTTATTAAAAACTATACCAAATAACTATGCATCCCCAACAAGTGAACCAAACAAAAAAGAAATAACGACAAGCTCCTAAAAGTATGCAATCTGTTTTTTTTCGCATATGTACCTTAAAACCAGTTTTAATAAAAAGCATTGATGTAATAATGGTGTTTATATTAAAAAAAGTTAAATAAAATACATTTATGATTAAACAACACGTATAAAAAAAGAAGCATTTGTTTTTTTTTTTTGGTGAAAAGCCATTTAACTTTGCTCGAGGATAATGTTTTGTTTTATGTCATTTCATAAATGGATAAATGCAACATAATGTTATGGCCATGGTTGGGATGTGTGTGGTTTTGGGGGGGGCAGGAAATAATGGTTGACTGCTAATTTCTAAACTTACCCGAATGTATGGTGTTGCGCGCTGTATTCTGATAGGCCGCACAATAGGCCTCAAATACACGCAAAACTAAGGCATCCTCTTCAAAAGTTGGTTGATTTTTGCGACCATTACAATAATTGGATAGATTGGCACCGATACTGCCACCACCGCTACCGCTGCCGCCACCACTACTGCTACCGCCGGTTGTGCTGGTGTTCAAAATACTTGGACGTAGTGGTGGTGCAGGGCGCATGTTCGTTATGTTCCAATTAGCTGTAGGGAAGAGGAGGAAAGACATTAGTATAGAAAACAAAACAGAAAAAATAAAATTGGACTGTGGGCAGTCAAATAATGGAAGATTTAAAGGGAATTTTAAGAAGTTTTTCTAATTCTAAAAAGAATGAAATCATGCACCTAGGTCTCCTCCTAAAAATCCTCTGGCATAGCCCATTAAATGCAATTTTAAAGTGCACAATTATTCCCCTAGAAAATTCAAAATCCACGATTCTTCTATGGGTTAAAACTATGAAACTTTAATTTTAGAAAATTTAATGTAAGAATCAATGATTCTTTCCCTGGACAGAGCCATGGAGATTTCTGTAAAAAGACCTTGGGTCTTCTACCAGAATACCTTGGAGTCTTCTATATGAAGAAATTAGATCTTCTATAAGAAGCCCTTAGAGTCTTCTGTAAGATCTTTGCGTCTTCTATAAATAGACCTTGTAGTCTTCATAGGTAGACCTTGAGTTGTTCTATAAGAAGTGCTTGGGGTTTACTATATGAAGATCTTAGGGTCTACTATAAGAAGACCCTAGGATCTACTATAAAAAAACCTTAGGATCTTATAAAAGACTTTGTGGCCCTCTGTAAGAACACTTTGGGGTCTTCTAAAAAGAATATATTAAGGTCTTCTATAAGGAGACCTTGTGGTGTTCTATAAAAAGATCATGTAGTCTTTTATATGAAGACTTTAGGGTCTACGATAAGACCTTAGGCTCATATGTAAAAAGACTTTATGGCCCTCAAGACCTTGGGGTATTCTAAAAAGAAGATATTGATATTGAAATATCTTGAAGACATTGGATTCCTCTAAAAAGACGACCTTGTGGACTTCTAAAAAGAAGACCTTCTGGTCTTCTGAAAAGAGGACCTAGGTGTCTTCTAAAAAGAAGGCCTAGGATTCTTCTAGAAAGAAGACCTAGGAGTCAGAAGTCATTGGTGTCTACTGAAAGAATATATTAGGGTCTTCATTAAGAAGACCTTGTGGTCTCTATAAGAAGACATTGGGGTCGTCTATCTTTACATATAGCCTATTAACTTCCATATTAAATTCCGCGTTTATACCATTGGGCAAAGCCTGAGAATTCAATTTAAAGATTAGCGATTATTCACCAGAACATTGAATAAAAAATTTAATTTGAAAATACACGCTCGTAGACCTAGGAAACAATTAACTGTGCACCTTGGAATATACTAGAAATTTAAAAAAAAAATCCACAATTAATCCTGGACATAGCCTACCAAATTCCATTTAAAAATTAGTGATTATTGCCTTGGACACGAACAATTCAATTTAGAAACGCACAATATGCCTAGGCCTACACAATAAAATTCAATTTTAAAATCCATTCGAAATCGAAAATTCAATTGGAAAAGCCTACGGCATAGCTTAGAAAATTCAATTTAAAAATCCTCGCTTATAGGCCTGAAAAAAATCACGTTTTTAGGACTGGACATATCCTAGAAAATTCAATTGAAAACGCGTCAGTTGTAGGTTTGAAAAAATCCACGTTTGTAGGTCTGGACATATCATAGAAAATACAATTGAAAAAGCCACGTGTGTGGGTCTGAAAAAATCTACGTTTATAGGTCTGAAAAAATCCTCGCTTGTAGGTCAGAAAAAATCCACGTTTGTAGGTCAGAAAAAATTTACGTTTGTAGGTCTGAAAAATTCACGTTTGTAGGTCTGAAAAATTCCACGTTTATAAGCCTGGAAGTTCTAGGATTCTTCCAGGCCTATAAACGTGGAATTCAATTTAAAAATCCGCGATTATTTCCCTTATTATTCAATGTAAAATGGTCGGGAGATATCCTAGAAAACTCAATTGAAAAAAACACGTTCAATTTAAAATCCGCGATTATTTCCCTGAGCGTAGCCTAGAAAATTTAATTTAATAATCCACGTTTTTAGACCTGGACATATCCTAGAAAATTCAATTTAAACATTCACGTTTATAGGCCTGGACATAGTCTGAAAAATCCACGTTTGTACGTTTGGACATATTCTAGAAAATTCAATTTAAAAATCCATATTTGTAAGCCTGAACATAGTCTAGAAATTTGACTTTAATCATCTACGACTAATCCTCAGCGTATAGCCAAAAAAAATTCAATTTAAAAATCCAAGATTATATCCTACGACAAAATACCTGGATCTAACGTACTGGGCTGTGAGCTATGCTATAGGTAGCCTCTAAAATCAATTTAAAAATCCTCACTTGTAGACAAACGGATAGTCAAACAAAAATTCAATTTATGAAGCTGTGGGCAGCCAAAAAATCAATTCGAAAATCCTCAATTATAGAGCTGTGGCTGCCTAAAAAGTCGATTAAAAATTACTAACAAATAAAGCTGTAGGCTGTCTACAAAATTCAATTTAAAAATTCTCATTTAAAGTGCTATGAGAAGCCTGGAGAATTAAGTTTAAAAATCCTCGTTTATAGATCTGTGGGTAACCATGAAAACTCATTTTAAAAATCTTCACTTAGGAGTTTTTGACGGCCCAGAAAACACAATATTCCTCATTTTTAGGACCGTGGAAACCTATGAAATTCCATTTTAAAATCCGAGACTTTAGTCCAGAAAATGCAATCCCCAAATCCTTGAGCTCAGCCTCAAAAACCACCTCTAAATGTCCCACTCAAGATAAGTCTTCTCAAAGTCCCGCTACCATGCCCATACCGATGCAATGCAATTCCCATTTTGTTTACCTTTTGTGTTTCCGGTCCTTACGTTTCCCACCACCGCTGCTGCTGCCATGGTGTTTGCCCCCGTATGATGTACCGGCATTTGTGTCTTCGAAATACTGTTCGATGTCTGGACTAAATTTGATTTGTGGTTTGGCACTGCCACTGGATGACTTGGTAGACTTGGTGGTTGTTGTTGTTGATGATGATGCATTTGATGAGGTGGTGGATGCTGAGTGTGTGTGTATTGATTGTAGCTGAGATGATGATTGAACGATAGGCTCCGTTTGTGTTGTGACGTTGCTGCAGCCTGTTGCTGCTGCTGGTGCTGTTGATTGTTCTCCAGCAATCTGTTGGCTGGTGTTGCTGTATTGTTCGTTGGTTGTTGTGCTGCTGATTGTCCGATGTTGTTGATCGTTTGCTGTTGCTGCTGTTGTTGATTTATTCGTTGACTGAGCAGGCCGAGATTTGAGGGTGGTGACATCTGGAAAAATTAAGAAGTAATTAATAATTTATTTCAAATATTACAAAAAATTAATTGAAAAAAAGAGTTGTGGTTAGTATCGCATTTCAAAACAATGTAAGTGCGGAACTGAGTAATAGTAATTGAGTTTCAAAATGCAGACAAAAAAGAACTGCTTGTATTAGTTGTTCAATACAAACTAGTAACATTCCTGAAATTAGTTGAGTTTATTTTCATTTATTTGTTTAAACGACACGACATCATGAGTGGTTGCTTTGCTGATTTGAGTTTTATTTTTGGTTTTTGTCCTGGTGCAGATATGGCCTTAAAACAAAAGCGCAAGCAAAGATAAGCTAATATATTTTTGTATATACACTGATGTGGTAATGAGGTTTGTGGTGAAATCATGTTCTGAAATTCGTTTTCTAAATGTTTCTCGTTTTTTTTTTTCAGAAACGCTGGGTGAAAAAAATAATGAAAAATTTACAAGAAATAAAAAAAAATATGAAAATAACTTAAATTTTTACGACAATCGAAGAAATTTATTACGAACTATTTTATAATTTTACGATCAATATTTATACGTAAAAATAAATTAAAATATTGAGTTTCAGAATAGTTCATAATATTTTTCTCCAATTGTTTTGATTCAAATTTCTTTGATTTCATTACAAAAAAGTAGCAAGCATTGTGATTGGTGGTCATGAATTTGGTGCTCAATGGAATGAATCAATATTGTTTGTAGGAGATTTACATGTTCTGGCCGATGATGTTTTTTTTAATGATAGAAAGCAAACAAAATCGATTAAAAAACGACAAAAACTAAAAGTTAAAATTATTACTGATATTACTTTTCATTCTTCAACATGAAAAAAAGAACAAGATTAGAATTAACGAGCTCATAAATTTCATTTTTTTCTTTGCGATAGATTTTCATGGTTCTCTGGAGGTTGCGAAACTTCAATAATTTCGGGGTAATAATATTCAATGAAAATAGTCTAAAAAAATCATTTTAAAAAATTATCATTTGTAGGGCTAGGGTAGCTCAGAAAATTCAACTTAATAACCCACGATTGTGCGCCTGAATTTAGCCTAAAACATTCGAGTCCAGAAAAATAAACCAAGAAAAATCAACTGAAAAAATTACGTTTGTAGACCTGTCCTGGCCTAGACCTGAATATGTTTGGAAGACCTGAATATGTTTGTAGACCTGAATATGGCGTGGAAAATTCTATTTAAAATTCCATGTTTGTTGGTCTGGACAGGTCAGAAAATTCAATTTAAGAATCCGCGATTGTACGTGTGGATATAGCCTTAAATATTCGAATGAAAAATCATTGATTAAAGATCTGGACATAGTCCAGAAAAATGAACTGAAAACCCACGTTTGCAGACCTGGACATGGCATAAAAAAATCAATTTAAAAATCTATGTTTGCAGACCAGGACATAGCTTGGAAAATTCAATTTAAAAACTGATGTTTGTAGATCTGGACAAAGACTGGGAAATTGAATTCAAAAATGATCGTTTGAAGGACATGGCCTGGAAAATTCAATTTAAAAATCTATGTTTGTAGACCTGGATATGGCCTGAAAAATTCAATTTAAAAACCCATGTTTGTAGACCTGGCCATGGCCTGAAAAATTCATTAAAAATCCACGTTGGTAGACCAGAACATAGACTGAAAAAATCTATTTGAAAATTCTCGTTTGTTGGCCTGGACATAGTCTAAATAATTCAATTTAAAAATTCCTCGTTGATAGGCTTGGATATAGCCAAGAAATTTCAATTTAAAAATCCACGTTTGTAGACCTGTCCCTACCCCAGGAAATGTAATTTAAAAATCCACGTTCGTAGATCAGTCCCTAGCCCAGAAAATTTAATTTAAAAATCCACGTTCGTAGATCTGTCCCTAGCACAGAAAATTTTATTTTAAAATTCTTCGTTAGTAGGCTTGGAAATTTTTTGAAATCCCCATTTGTAGGCCTGTCCCTAGAACAGAAAATTTAATTTAAAAATCCACGTTTGTAGATCAGTCCCTAGAACAGAAAATTTAATTTAAAAATCTACGTTTGTAGATCTGTCCCTAGAACAGAAAATTTAATTTTAAAATCCACGTTTGTAGATCAAGACATGGCCTGAAAAAATCAATTTAAAAATCTACGTTTGTAGATCTGTCCCTAGAACAGAAAATTTAATTTTAAAATCCACGTTTGTAAATCAAGACATGGCCTGAAAAAATCAATTTAAAAATCCACGTTTGTAGATCAAGACATGGCCTGAAAAAATCAATTTAAAAATCCACGTTTGTAGATCAAGACATGGCCTGAAAAAATCAATTTAAAAATCCACGTTTGTAGATCAAGACATGGCCTGAAAAAATCAATTTAAAAATCCACGTTTGTAGATCAAGACATGGCCTGAAAAAATCAATTTAAAAATCCACGTTTGTAGATCAAGACATGGCCTGAAAAAATCAATTTAAAAATCCACGTTTGTAGATCAAGACATGGCCTGAAAAAATCAATTTAAAAATCCACGTTTGTAGATCAAGACATGGCCTGAAAAAATCAATTTAAAAATCCACGTTTGTAGATCAAGACAAGGCCTGAAAAAATCAATTTAAAAATCCACGTTTGTAGATCAAGACATGGCCTGAAAAAATCAATTTAAAAATCCACGTTTGTAGACCTGGACATAGGCTAGAAAATTCATTTTAAAAATCCACGTTTTGTAGACATGGACATGGGCTAGAAAATTCATTTTAAAAATCCACGTTTGTAGACCTGGACATGGGCTAGAAATTTCATTTTAAAAATCCACGTTTGTAGGCCTGGAAATGGCCTGGAAAATTCATTTCAAAAATCTACGTTTGTAGACCTGGGCATGGTCTGGAACATTAATTTCAAAAATCCACGTTTGTAGGCCTGGAAATTTCATTTCGAAAATCCACGTTTGTAGGCCTGGAAATGGCCTGGAAAATTAATTTAAAAAATCCACGTTTGTAGAACTAGACATGGCCTGGATATGGGCTAGAAAACTAATTTCAAATATCCACGTTTGTATGGCTGGACATGGACTAAAAAACTAATTTCGAAAATCCATATTTTTAGACCTGAACATGACCTAGAAAATATAATTTAAAAATTCACGTTTGAAGGCCTGAATATGACATGAAAAATTAGATTTAAATATCCACATTGGTAGATCTGGGCATATCCTGAAAATTCTATTTAAAAATCCACGTCTGTAAACCAGAGCATAGACTAGAAAATTCAATTTTAAAATATAAGTATTAACCCTTGATCATGGTGTCGAAAATCTCTTTGAAAATCTACCACAGAATTCCATAGACAGAGACTAGAAAATTCAATTTCAAATTCAGGATTCTGCCCACAAAAAAGGGTAAATATTGCTTCAAAAATCTATTTTCAACCACGAGATTATAGAGAGAACAGAGAGAGAGATTTTGTCAAGGATTTTCAACATAAAAGTCCACGATTATGCCCCCGGGAAAAAATTAGAATATTCCGTACAAAATCTCGAACCTGATCATGGCCTAGAAAATTAATTTAGAAATTTATGCCGACCAAAGTGTAGACTAGAAAATTCAATTTAAAAATGCACGGTTGTAGACTTGAACATGAGCTAGAAAATTAAAATTAGGCCAGGGAATTCAATTTCAGAACCCGAGATTTAGGGTATAAGCAAAACCTTACAAAATCCAATGTTAGATGAGTTCAGACTATCTTCGGGCTATACTTCTTCTTAAGCGCCTTATAAGATGTCCCCTTCACCCCCTGCAGAAAACCATGAAATCTTTTTCATAAAAAAATCTCTAATTAGTCAAAAAAATTTAAATCCAAAAAAAGAATGCCGCCAAAAAATGGTGGTAAACAAAGAAAACGTAATAAAATCGATATTAGAAAAAAAGAATAATTATTAAAAAATTAGAAGAAGAAAAGAAATCAACGAATTTACAAAACAGAACGTGCAGCACAAACGCTCATATCACAACAGCAACAACTACACATTTGGCAGCATGGCACACAAATGCGTAGCCGCCGCTGCCGCAGCTACAGCAGCAGCAAATGGATATATTTGGGCTTAAAAATGCTTGCCTTCTGCCAATGGCGGCCGTGTAGCAAAAGTTGCGGAGCTCGTCATATCATCTTCATCCTTTGTCGAACTTAACGATTCCATGCGAGCCAAATAATTACCACTGCAGATGGGACAATCGATGGATGAGCCGGCACTACTCAGTTGGCCAGAGTGGCTGGAAGCAACTCGGGTATTGTTGCCCTTTGAGTTGCGCATGGGGGTGGAGCTATTGCTGCTGCCGTTGTTGTTATTGGTATTGTTGCAAAGGGGACATTCGGCTGATGTTGTTATTGTTGTGGTAGTGATGGTGGCAATTTGTGGATTTCTTGATGATGACGAAGAGGTTGCCGATGTTCCCGTAGAACTACAAATGCTAACGCAATCCTGACACAGGGCACAATAGGCGGCACCCTCACTAAAGCCACTGGCTGCACCCAAAGAACACTGGCAACTGGAACACCGTGAACAATGGGAGTCCAAACTGACCTCATGGGAGGGTGGCAGCCTTTTATTGTAGACTTTGGCAATACTTTTGACAATTTCATTGGGTAAGGTCTCCTTTTTCCACCAGTGGGCATACATGCCGGAACGAAATACTCCCGCCGTTTCGGTTTGATTTTCCCCAGCCTCTTCATTGGCATTGGGTGTGGCGGCGGCCGCCGCTGTCGCTGATTCATGGGGACTCTGGGAGGTAAATATGAAGCCATTCGAAGTGGAAGCTTGGTTGTAGGATGGGGCTGTAGAGCTAATAAAAATACTTTTACTATTCCTTTGGAATTCTAGAGAAGTCATTGCAGCAGCAGATTGTTGTGGTGGCATTTGTTGTGAGTTTTGTCCCACTTCCTCCGCCTCCTCCTCCTGCTGCTGGGAATTGTCTAAAAACTTTTCACGAAATGTGCCACAGACATCAAATCGTGTGAGATCATTGTTGTTGGAGAGTAATTTCAAATTACCATCTACATCGTAGAAGGGTTCATAGGCCCCACCCTCTGTGGTGGGAGGATCTGGGGAATTTATGGTACAGCTGCCTGCCATGCCGGAATCACTGGATCTTGGGCTGGGACATTGTGAGCTTTCACAGCATTTACATTTGGGTGTGGTGGCGGTGCTACTGTTACTCTCCTTGTTGTTATCCCCAGGAAAGGGGAAGTGTCTGCGGACATTGCTGTCGTTGTTGTTCCTGTCGGGTGGTACTTGATTTGCCACAGTGCTGTTAGCCTCACCTCCACCACACTCTTGTTCCTGGGCCAGGGGCACATAGTGGTAGCTAATGCATCGTTTTACAGAATTCCGTTTTGGCCTCCCACTCTCCTCATTGCTGCTGCGTTTGGGTTCAAAACAAAGTTCCGTTTGAGATACGTGAAAATTTTTCGCATTAAACATGGCCGGTGGGGCAATGACATCATTTTGTTGAGGTTGCTGGGCATCATTAAAATTGTATAACAATTCTGCCTGTAATTTATCGGGAGCCTCCCTACACATGGCCGGCAAATCCAAGGTACTGGCATGTACCTCCCCATCCACTGTATCACTACCATGATTTGTCTCCACAGCATCGGCACTTTGATTTTGCATATCATTGCGATCCTGCCAGGAGGGCACATAAACTTCGGTTTTGGAACTGCGATTAAAACGATTACCCACAAAAATATTCGGCATGCTGTGGCGCTCCGTGGGCGAGGTGGCCAAATGTGAGACAGATGAGTTTTTAATTTTCGTTTCATCACCGAGATCGGCTAAATTTTCACAGGCAATATAGGCTCCTTTCAGGCGACCACCATATACCGAGGATTTCTCTGAGGTCTCCGACGTTTGTTGTTGCAACAGTTGCGGCTTTAGATGCTGGGACTGAGAATGCGTTAAGACTGGTATTTCCTTGGCCTGCGTTGACCCCCCACCCATGGTCAAATGGGCCTTGGAGGTATGTATAATAATACTTTGTTCGGAAGACTTGCGAGCTATGGCCCGCATTGTTTTGGAACCTATAACTAGAGATTCTTTTTTTAAAGCTGGCGAAAACTGATTGCCATCATCTGAGGATGAATCAAAATTAATGAGATTTATGGAGGAGCAATGTCTAGGGGCCTTGCCGCTGGCGGGAGGTGTTGCTGCTCCCGGACCATGGTCTATAAAGGTACCAGTCGACGACACAATGGAATCGTTGCGGGAAAAACGTACAAATTCAAAATCATTGGCACTAACAATGCCACCACTACCATCTCTACCACCACCATCGCCACCACTTTCCGAATCTGTGGGCAATGAAAAGGCATCCTGTCTCTCCAATGTTCCCGTTCTTCCATCCGCCAGATCTTCGCCTGGCGTCAGAGATCTTATCAACTTTTTGCATGTCTTATGTTTCCTCTTTCTCAGCGGTATGGAATCCATGTTAATACTCTGTCTGGACTGGGGATATAATAGCATTTTTATGATGACCGCCTTCAATTGGCCAGCCTGTACCAGCTTGGCAAAATGATCACTGAGATTGGTATAGGGCGCCGTGGGTGGATAATTACTGGGTGGCAGGGTGACACGCATTTGTGGTGAATTATAATAGGCACACAATGAAAATCGAGTACAATAGCCCCGAGCATCCAAATTATAAATAGAAGCAGACGATGAGGTCTATGGGTAAACAAATTGAGCGCGCGTAATGTGAACAACAAAACAGTTTTGGTCGTTTTTTTTGTGGTTTATAAAGAAAAAGGGTTTGAGTTGAATTTGAATTTAGGTTATTTTTAAAGAAGTTTCTTTTTTTTCAAAACATTGGGGGAGCTTAGGAGCAGGGTTTTATAAAAAAAAGTAAAATTGGTTTAGTAAAAAGTTTCGGTCAAATAAAATCTATTTTGGGAAATAAAATGAATATCCTTAGCTACACCAATGTATCGCTGGCTCTCCTTTCATACTTACATGGCTTGGTGGAGTTGAAATATGGCCGCCACCGCCGCCGCCACCACCTCCTCCGCCTATACTTAAATTACTATGCTGGCGTTTAATGCCAATGGGCAGACTGGCATTGGTTGAGGTTAACAGTTCGACCCATTTATTGGCTTCATTGGGTCCCTGGCAGACTGCAATAATTCTCTCAATTAAAGGACTATTGATTTCAAAGGCATTCTTAAAGGTATCTGAATCTTCCAGGCGATTGACAACAATACCCGTCAGGGGTAATTTACCCTAAAAGAAAACTAAAATTAAACAAATTTCTTCCGTGTGAAATGTATCTCTTCCATACCTCATAAATAAAAGCACTCATTCGTTGGCTAACACTCAATATGAGTAAAGTTTGTGGAAATAATACAAAATAACGATCACGATGATCCAAACCCACGGCCACACTGCCCATGTGTATAATCTCACCCAGTGAACTTAGTTCTTGGCCTTGCCAACCGCGCACAGGCCCGGTCAGAACTTGTAATTCAAGTTCCTTTTGTCTCCGCGTGGCCGAACAGGTGGCCTGTAAAGGATAATACAAAAATATAAATTAATTTAGTTCTGATTCTTATAAAAGGTGGGGTGGGAACTTACCGCAATATCCTTATAAACCGCCACACTGCGTTGTGTATCTCCCCGATCGGGGTGACTACTTTCCATATGGCGTTCCAATTCTTGCAACATGGCTGAGTATTTATCCAGTCGTCGGAATGGTTTCGAGAGGCCCGTGGTAAGCACTAAAAGTCCTGGTTTAGCTGCTCCCTGCTGCTCCATGTATTTTTCCAAATCATCTCTGGGAGAAAAAAGAAAGAAAATAAAAATTTAAAATCGATTTAAGAAGAGATAGTTTGAAAATATTCGGAAACCGTATAAAAAGGTAAAAAAAGTCGTTGCGGAATCATAACTGAATGCTAAATGGCACTTCTCCATACTTGGGAAAATGAAACGCCCAATAAATATATGGGGCTGCAGTAAATGCAAATAAATTGTGGCGGACAACTCAGTTATCTAAGGAGAGGGTTTCGAGCCACAAATAGCGAGACAAGATTATTGACCCCCATGCTTACATACCCGAGCCCATCAGTCTTCTAAAGGTTTTCAGTCCGAGTTCCAACTGTATCCTTGTTGATGTCTGGGTACCTCAACTAGTAACAGAGATAGTTGCCAACACTTTACCAAGATCTAAATTCTATGCTATGCTAATCTTCGTTGTTAACACCACTGTCCAATGACCCTATGATGAATAACAAACTTACTTAAAACTGGGAGATTGAACCAGGTCCTTCCAAAAATCCTGAGCTATGCAAAGAAATGTGACTAAAAAACGGTAATTCCAGATAGGGAAGGTCTCTCTGAGCAAATCTCTGCTCACTTTGAAACTTTATCAGGAGTACTTTGCCCCTCTGATAACTGTCATCTAGGACTTAGACAGCTGAGGAGACCTTAAGTCAAAATGCTCAGTATTTTTCATGTGTTATTGTAGCAGATCTGTGTAGGTACAGAATTGATCTAGGTGACAGTTCTTGACTGAGTAAAGCTCGGGATATTAAGTTAAACCGGCGACCTTTTTTCCTGACGCAAAGGAATCACACGAGTAATTATTATGGACTTGAGAAAGTTGTCATGATGATGCGATGGGCGCTTAGCTTTTACAGAAAGTATATCTACTGGGATACTTCCAATGTAATGAAGAGTCCGTGTAAACCTGAAGGCTGTTTGTAAATTCGGATACAAAAACCTGCGCATCGGCAAATTTTTTCAACTGTTATGAAAAGTCTGATTGATCCGGAAGGCAGTCGGTAAAATCAGAAAAATTACCCGCATAGCGGTTGACTTCAAGAAAAGACTTGTCGACGTGTAGAACATTCTCCGATTCCCATAGGGACTGTAAAAACTTTTTACGAAATGTAACATAGAAATCAAACCGCTTGTAGGAAGTTTATCCGTAAATTGGAAGAGAATACCCCACACTGCGGCTGACCTCAAAGGAAGCCAAATCAAGATGAGGTCTGCAGACGATCGCCAAACTTTTGCAGGAAGTTTGTAATGGGAAGGTTAGTTGTAATTGAAAGACAGGTTAATCCTGAAGGAAGCAAGTAAATTCGGAAAGAATTACCCCCGTAGAGGCCGACATCGATAAGAAAAACTATGAACAAAATGCGGGTGGTGGCAAAAACATGCTAAGATTCCGTTTGTACCTCCAAAAACGTGTCCAAGGAGGTCGATATAAAGAGAAGCTATAAACAGACGGTATACTTTTGCCGAAAGCTTACCGAATTGGATCCTTTGGAAGCCGCTGGCAAAAAGACATTTTGATTGTTACACCCATCCCCTTCGAGCGTCTAGCTTTGGGAAGGAGACTCGCCTGCCTGTAATCTACCTGGAAGGACTTGCCCAACTGAGAAGACTGCCCCTTACAATGAAAACTAAAAGATGGTGGCAAAAAAGCTAGCTCATATTCTGTTTCAAATTCCGAAGACGTTGATAATAATGATGAAGTATAGGTATATCGTAAAAAGTGGACGATGCAGCACAAGGAAATTTAGAAGGCTAAACGTCCCGATTTCACAATTTGTGCTTCAATGTCCAGTTTTAGTAAGTCTGCTATTTTTGCGCCTAATACAAATTGACATGTTTATACCATCGTGAACGTTGTTAAGCCAAAAATATTTGTCTAGACTGCCGATGTTCTTTGGATGCAATGGATGGGGTGAGCTCCGGGTGGCATTCATACTACTTTCGCCTGGAAGGGGGATTTCTGTCCACCATATAATGTTTAGGATGACTCACACGGTGACACCCAAGCACGTACTGCCACGAAAGTATATGGTTATGCTTCGTCTCCTCATGTAAATGGTCCACTGGAGGCATGAATGGAGTTCTAGGAGATCTGAATGCTCGTATTCGTAGACCACAGTGCGTCATCAATCTTGAAATGGCGATGTTAAACAAACCTTACCCTTGCTGTCGTCAAACAGTTAACTTTTTTTGGATAGGTTTCGAAATAAAAGTCGGATTGTAATATTATCCCTCAGTAGCGAGACCACCCTCCCTCACCACTTTACACGCATCGAATGGTTTGGTATTCCTTATAACATCTGCAGTGTCAACACTGAAAACTGTGACATGCCATTTCCGGCAATCGTTTCGGATTGCACCAAAACGTGAACCTATATATACTTCGTTCCTCCACCGGAGCTAGAACCCATTGCGAGCTACAAATACAATTTTTAGACAAATCCGTGAAAAAAAAATATGGCAAAAATCATCAAAATACCGAATATCGGGAGTTACCGTTATATGCGATACAAAAACGTGGACCTATACATACAATGTTTCGCCACCGGAGCTAGAGCCCATTATGACCTACAAATACCAATTTTAGACAAATCCATTAAGGTCTGAATACTCGTATTCGTAGATCACACTGTGCCATATATCTTGAGATGGAGATGTAAACAAACCTTATCCTTGGTGTCGTCAATTTCTTCTAAGGATTGGTTTCGAAAAAAAATTGGATTGTAATATTTTCCCCCAGTAGCGGGACCAGCCTCACCACTAATGGGTTTGTATTCCTTATCACATCTGCAGTTTCAACACTGAAAAACTGTGACATGCCATTTCCGGCAATCGTTTCGGATTGCACCATTGATAATCAAAAATATTATTTAGAACCTGAACATATGAGGGCTAAGGAAATTTCCTGTTGGAATCAATGGGTAGGGCTATGATGAGGTGATCTGACCCAAGTGGTATGACATGTAGCAATATAATTCTATGCGTTAGTTTCGAACTTTGATGGTCAATGGCAATTAAGTCCGGTAGTCGATTTGTGATTATAACAGGGTGGTGGTCTGACCCAAGCCATGTGACGCATTGACATATTGTGCTAAGTGGTAAGTTTGCCTACACATTTTAAAAAAATCTAATTTCCCTATTAAATTTGTTCCCCATAAAAAATCAAGCCTATATAACCCGTCCTCACGTTGTTTGACGTAAGGCAGTGTATTAAAAATAATTACTAAATTCTCTTCAAAATACAAATGTCAATATAGTAGACAATTTTATCAAATATATAAATTTTTTTATCTGATACAACAGAGCAGGAAAAAAATTGCAAAATCGATTTCAATTTGCTTTTCTTATCGCAAAAATGAAATAAACATTTTTTGTATTGAAAAACTGCAAATCATTTTTTTTGTTAAAAACGACGGCGACGACAACAACAAAATTAATTATTACTTATTCTACAAGGTTTAGAAACACACACAATCGCACTCACTTGTATTTATCTAATATAACAATAGCTTTGGGATGCGCAGCACAGTAGGCCTGATGAACTTGTTTCATCAGTGGTGCCTTATTTAGAAATAGTTTGCCCACACGATCATTGCACTCTTCCATTTGTGTCAGCAGCTCTTCATGGGTCTTGACGACCTCAACGAAATTGCACATTAATTGAGCGTATTCATCGGCATTCAAACTGCAAAAGAATAGGGGGGGGGGAGAGAAAAAGAAAGAAGGAGGTCATTATTAATTAATGGCAACATTAGTTATTAATGCAAAACAACAAGCAAATGAGGGTGTGCCTCTGTGTGTGTGTGCTACTTACATTTGTGTTTGCTGTAGGGGTTCCAAAAAGTTCTCCAACAAACCCTGCACCTCCGCCACATGGGCCCGTTCCGAATCGAGCAGATCTTTTAGGACTACAGAGCGATATTCTTGTATTTCCTCGGGTGGCCGTATCGAATCTGTAATGGGCAACGGCGCCTTGTATTCCATAACATAATTGCTGGGAAACCAGCCAGTCTTATCGTTGAGTGTTCCCTCCCACCAGCCACCCTCTTCACGCTGGGTCACGGTGATTAGATCACCTTTTTTAAAACACAATTCATCATTGTTGCCCCCCTTGAAGGAGTACTCAGCCTGGACGATTAGTGGTTGTTCCATGATTTTTTTTTTTAGATTGCTGTTTTGCCGAACATACAAAATGTGTGTGTGTGTGGATGTGTGAGTTTGTGAAAATTTCCTCCTAGGGGCCAGCTATTTTTCTTGATTGCTGCTATAAATCACAGTTCAACTGCAAAGATGGAATGTGAGAAAAAATAGATTAATAATTATTTCTGTTATTGCTTGCAAAAAATAGAAAAAAATCTAAATACGTATTTTTTTCTTATCCAGAATCGCTTTCCATCTAAATAGACACTGACATGGAACTCTATCAATATTTTGAAACAGACAAGAAATTCTTAAATTGTTAGGTTGGACATGGGGCTCGTAATTCATCCCTAGAAAGACACTTATATATGTTCGAGATGGAAAATTCCCAGCAATGGTTTTAATGTATCTGATTGCCCGGACTATGTACAAAGAAGTTCGATATGCTTGAAAATTACAAGGCAGAATATTTATTTTATTTATTCCTGGAAACGAGACATAAATTTGATTTTATGGTAGAAAAAGTAAAATAGTATCAGTCGGTTTTACCGACAGATGTATACCCCAGCCCAGTTATGCTTATTCAAACTGTTGACTCTTCATGACGAAGGTTCTGAAGCAGTTGGCCAATATTGACCAATTCATATCTGACCTAAGACTGATATAAAAATTACAATGTGCCAGATTTGGACTATATCGACTACTTCCGATATAGCAGAACATATATAGCGGACCGAAGTGATCCATTTTCATATCTATATCCTATTTATGGTTAAGAGATATAGCAAGTTGTAAGAATTGGTAGATGTATATCATCTTCACAACAGATCTTGCCTTAGCAAAAAATATTTGGGTTTGTGAAATTTAAAAAAAGTTGGATGCCTATTTCGCTTTCTTTGAGCGTTTTGTTTTTCAAACATTTTAAACCCTATGTGGGGGAGGTACCAGAATATATTGGAATCGGATATTGATTTCGCGTTTTATCGGCTTCATGGATATTCAAAATTTTGACATTATGTGGGGAGGTACCAGAAGGAGTGAACCGATATATCCCATTTTCACACCAGACCTAGAGTTAATAAAAATATTGTGATGTGTGTAATTTGAAAAGAACCAGATGCTTATTTCAGATTTTATGATTGTTTTGGTTATTGAAAACTTCAGCCCTTTGTGGGGGAGGTACCAGAAGAAATTGTCCAAATCTGAATGGAATCGGATATTAATTTCGCGTTTGATCAGCTTCACGGATATTCAAAATTTTGACCTTTTGTGGGTGAGGTACCAGAAGGAGTGGACCGATATATCGCATTTTCACACCAGACCTGAAGATAATAAAAATATTGCGATGCGTGTAATTTGAAGAGAAACAGGAGCTTATTTCAGATTTTATGATCGTTTTGGTTATTCAAAACTTCAACCCTTTGTGGGGAAGGTACCAGAAGAAATTGTTCGATATGTACCATCTTTATAACAGATCAGGTGCTGATGGAAATTTTGAAATGTACTAAGTCTGAATGGATTTTCAAAATTTTGACCTTTTGTGGTTGAGGTACAGAAGGAGTGGACCGATATATCGCATTTTCACACCAGACCTATAGTTTATAAAAATATTGTGATGTGTGTAATTTGAATAGAACCAGATGTTTATTTCAGATTTTATGATCGTTTTGGTTATTCAAAATTCGAACCTTTGTGGGGGAGGTACCAGATGAAATGGTCAGATCTCTTCCATCTTTATAACTAATTTTGAGTTGATGGAAATATTGAGATGTGCCAAGTCTGAATGGAATCGGATATTAATTTTACGTTTTATCAGCTTCATGGACATTCAAAATTGTGACCCTTTGTGGGGGAAGTACCAGAAGAAATTGTCCGATCTCTACCATCTTTACATCACATATTATAAGAGTTTTAATTAAACAAAATTTGTACTCTTTGTGGGGGAGGTACTTGATGGAGTGGACCGACATAGCATTGATGCAAATAGTAGGATTCGCAAAGTTGGAGCAAAGTCGGATTATCCTTTCTCTTTATGTTCTGTAAGTTATTTTCTTTGAAAATGTTGACATTTTGTGTGGGAAGCACCAGAAGGAGTGGACGGATGTTGCCCATCTCCGAACTCAATCTAAGTTTGACAATAAGATTATGATGTGCCAACTTTGGATCAAATCGAATACTCCCTTCGAGTGTTATCGTGTGAGCCAGCCAGACAGGCGGACGGACGAATATTGTTCGCCTCTAAATTTCCTGAAACGGATATGGTCCAAAGAGACCTAGAATCTAAAACCATTATTTCGGTAAGGCAGGTTTTGACCGTATGAAATGTTATATTCCCTCTCTAGCCATATGACTGAGGGTATAAACATATAGTTATGGTCTATTTTATTCGCTAAATATTGTCCGATGACCAAATATAATGTTAGGCTTCTGCCCAGCCCTTAACTCCAGCCCCATGCTATAATCCTCGTCGATTTGTCTATAATTGCGACCTGTAGAGCAGCTTCAAAATCAGGAAATTTTTGTGTTTTTGGTCCATTGCAAATATTTTGTGATAATCTACAAATACAATAGCGTTCTAATCTAACCTTAACCCCACCTCCATTCTCAATTTCGCGGGGATAGGTCCATAATTGCGACCTGTAGCGTGATTACAATTTAACATGGGAAAACGGACATACGGACGGACATACATAGCTAGAACGACTGAGTTCGGCGAAATAGGAAGATCCATATACAGTTTCCTATGACGGGGACCAATATTTCGATGTTTTACATAATTTTTGGTTCAAAGGTTCAACTTATAATACCCCCAACACATAGTGTTGCAGGGTATGATAATACATTATTTTAGCATGAATTAAAAACCCTTCAAAAAATTACGTACGGGTCTCAATACCCAAGCCTCTAATGTCTAATAATATGTTTCTCCTCTCTGCATTAAACATTTTCAAAAGTGACCAATTCGCAGCGGTCATATATAACAAATATGTATGTTCGTTTGCACAGCCAACTTTATCAGACTTGAGGAATTTGCGCTAAATGTTCGTTCTTTGTTCTAATGCGAAAAATATTTCCAGATCTATAGATGTTGGAGGAAAATAGAAAAAAAAAAAAAAAAAAAACAAAAAACAAATGGCACACATTGTCCACCCAGATACTCTTGGAAACATCTGAATAATGTGAAACACATTCCAACCAATTCATTCATTGAATGGCAAGAATGAAAACGAATTAAGATGAGATGAAAAAACAAAACACAAAATAAAATGCTTTCAAATATTTCATCCATCCAATGGCCAGTCAAACACAAGGTCGACCTGGCATGCCAAGAGGAGGAAAAAAACGTTTAACACAGTATTAACAATATCATTGAAATATATACATATTTCGGTAAAACAAAAAAAAGTATTTAAAAAAAATTATATATGGAGGGAAATTATCTACACTCGGCAATGGCGGTTGTCTGGTACTCTACAGGGCGAGATAAAAAACTGCCATAATTTTTACATTTTTTTAAATTTTATTCAATGAAAGCGAAAAATGTCGGAAATAGCATCAAATTTTAGAATAAGTTTAGATTTGTTCGAATTGGTCAGCCTTGGCACGAAGTGTGGCCTTCAAACGGCCAATAAAACCGTCACACGCTACACGAATGTTGCTCTGCGGTATTTTAGCCCTTTCCCGGTGAAGCACTTGCTTGCGCTCGGTGATCGACACTTTGGTATTTTTTATTGCCAACCTTGCTTTTCAATTACTCCAGAACAATAATCCAACGGATTGGTATCCGGAGATTTTGGTGGCCATTGTGTGCTGGAAACGAAACGAGGAACCTCATTTTGTAACCATTCTTGGGTGGTGCGTGCTAAGTGCGATGGTGCTGAGTCCTGTTGGAATGTCCAAAACGTTTGCGTGCCCAAGGCTCTAATACACCCTTCAGAATATTTTCGCGATAATATTCGGCATTTATTCTGATGTCACGGTCGATTAATACGAGCGGAGAGCGACCATTGCCTGTTATGGCGGCCCACACCATCCCCATGGCTGGTGACCAACCGACGGTGTACATTTTCAGCTGACCTCTTTGGCAAGAAAACACGATCATTTTATTTGTTTACAAACTGCTGGACAACGAATGTTTTGTCATCGGAGACGGAGAAAACCAAATTCGGCAGTTCACCACTTTCGGCCAAGCGAAGCAACTCTTTAACTCTTTTGAGTCTAATTTCTTTCTGTTGCGGTGTAAGTTCTTGTAATTGTTGGAATCTCAATGGCTTTATCCGAGCTCATTTTTCAACGTTTGCCGAATGGAATATTGCGATATGTTCAGCTCATGAGCCATTTTTCGACCACTGCGATGCGGGTGTCGATAAGTCGCTTCTTTACTTTTCGAACCATTTCTGCTGATGTTGCTGTTTTCTTCCGTCCACTTCCTTGACGTCGGGCTACTCACCAGTATCACGGTAACGAGCGATGATACGAGACACAAAAGATTTATTCACATTTAAATACTGGAGTGCTCTAACGATATCCACTTGTGGAGTTCCAACCAAATATAAAGAAATCACACTATCACGCTTCAATTCCATCACGAATAACTTTTTTTCTGGAAAATTGTCACCAAAATTCTTTTTAACGCTTGTAAACAATATAATGAGTTGTCACAGAAATAATTTTAACAACTGTCGAACGAGTGGCTTATAAATTACAGCAGTCTGAAGTTGGTTGCAGTTTTTTCATCGCACCCAGTATATGCTGTATATATTTATTTATTTTATTATTATTATTATTTATTTTTTTTTTTAAGTCAACTTATTTCATCTACCTTATGCTTGATGTAGGGTATCAAAACTAATTGATTTGAACATAAAAAAATAGACAAAAATTCGAAAATTACTTTACGACTTTCAAATAATTTTTTTTTTCATTTATGATTTTATGATCAAACATAGTTTTATGTGTTTTTACAACAGATTTTTTCTCCAAAATGTAGGTCGCATATTTTGGAATTTTTTTTTTACAATATTTAATTTTTTTTAACACATTTTTTTGCAATCTCTAGAAAATAAAAAAACAATCCATAGTTTGTCCAACATTGTTTATCTTTTCTGTTGGCAGTAAATTATGAGTTTATTTTGATCTCGA